GCGCACACCCGCAGACAGAATCATTATCAATCACCATTTTGACCGGACTTGTATCAGATCTGCCGTCTGACGAGGCTTCCCCAGTGCCATACACTGACAGGCATCGCATTCGCACCAACATGAAGCATGCTTGGCACTCGCATCCTTGTGCACGTTTGTCGAGGAGATGAGGGCCGGCTGGAGGGGACCAATCTGTCTGTGTAAGGGCCAAAGTCGTGCTGTGGGACGATGCGCGTAGTCCATGCCTCACTGGTCCCTCCCAAAGCAGTCCAGCATCATTCAACGGTGGCACATGCCAACTACCGACTTGTGGACCCGGTGCGTCTGGGGATTTGTCCGTGAGTAGGTTTTGGGTCCACACCTCGTGCTTTCGCATGCGCTCCTTCATCCCTTGTGGACGCCAGAAAAGGTCTTGGTTTTGACGAAACAGCTCGCGCGTCTGCTCGATCAAGTTGGTGCGTGTCGAGGACACGAAGCTCGCCAGAACGTCGTCGCGTAGGTGGTCGCAAAGACTGTCAAAGAGCCCGAGCGGAAGCACCGCGAGATCCCTGCGCCCAACCTGGGCGATGTGCCTTTAGTTCTCGACTCCCACGCGCTCTTGAGACGCGCTGCCAGATGCTTGCATACTGTGCGCAACGGAAATTTTCGACCGATGCGGTGGCGTTCTCACGAATGGCCTCACCCGTTGATGAGATTGTTGGCTGCACCAACCCGAGGCCGTGCTACGCTGGTATCTCACAGAGCTTGCAGCGTCGCCATGCGTTGAAGCGATCTTGGTCCGACTCGACTGCCCTTGCGCAGTCAGCTCGGCTCTGTCTCGACGGGACTTACCGAAGGCACCATTGGAAGTTGCGCCACCCTCGTCCATTTGACATTCAGCGGATGTGGCGGGCAACTGGTGCTGCGGACAGACCAATTGATCTCCTTCCATTCGTAAATGCCGCAATCTCTCGTCAAGCTACGGATCTCACCATGAGAGCAGAGCACACCAATGATCAGCATCATACTCAAGCGCGGAGCAGGAGTGTCCAGGGAGAACGCCTTACTCACCGTGGAGACTGAATAGCCCACCTGCTCAGCTTGCTTGACACGCTTTCGGACGCGAGATTTCAGCATTTCGTTCTTGCCGAGTTGGAAAAAAGACTAGATGAGAGACTGCGACCCATGAAGGCGTTCGGCGATGTAGCCTCGCCTGGCCAATCTTCCTCGGTAAATTCGCGCCTGTGATTGTCGGAAGACTGAATAGGAAGCCTCTCCATTACCGAGATAGACGTTTGGCGGACGGAAACATGTTGGAACGGCAATGCTTTTGTCGATCTGAGTGTGTGCAGACGAAGAGCCGGGTGGTGCTAATGATAGTCTTACTTTAGGAACAGAGGCTGAAAAGGACGCGGCGATGAGGGCATAGGGGTAAGATGTGGAGGGAGAGAAGAGAAGAGCGAGACTGGACCTAAACGAGATACTTTTCACACAGAGAAGAGAGGGAACGAATGTGTTGAAGTGGGGAAGGACTGGAGGCAGCCGGCGCTGGAAGATGGACTGGGATTTGATGCGAAAGGGAAAGGGCAAGACGAAGCAGCGAATGTACTCGCACAATGAGAGAGATTGAGGGGGAGAGGAGGGATGACCGAACTGATACCTAGGAGCTGGTTGGGCACCTGAGGCGAGGAGGAAGTGGAGATGCGGGAAACGCTGCATGCTGGGCATATGTCTCGCCTTCGAGCCAAGCCCTTCATACTGCCAGCACAGAATTACGAGTGTATAGCGAACTTGCAAGCTTTGAGAAGTGGACACAGAACGCCATCAAGCTCATAAGTGAGAGATGATCGACTGATGGACGGAGAGGGTGGGGACCAGTCGAAAGAGGTCGTACCCAAATCCGTGCGACGAGGAATATGACTCGTCGAGGTCAGAACGTCGCGACACAGCTCCAAGCCTTGCTACTGTGAATACGAATGATCTTCACGCGCGGTGGCTAGACTCACTATCTCCGGTGGGATGTTGCAGTGCCACATGCGTGCGCACACACACGCGCCCGCCGCGAAGGTGGAGCCGGAGCCGTAGCCGGAGTCGGAGTCGGCGCAGGAGGTGGAGGTCAAAATCGCTTGCTGTCGGACGCTGACTCGCACGCCCGCTATGCTTTAACCTGCAGATCCCCGAAATTGCATTTCTACCGATTCTGTCTATCTCCGATTTTCGAGCCTTAATTCTGCGGAGAGTCTTGCATCTCCGAACTCTAGGTCTCGGACTGACGACCGGAACGAGAAGCACGCCAACAAGTCGCGCACACTTGAGACGGATGGAACGGTTGAGATGTACACCTCATCAGTCCCGATTGCATGCCGAGGTTCATCAAGCGTACGTGAGCGGGAGGCTCATCCAAGATGTGTAGGCATGCAGACCACTTGGAATGTTGCTGGGTGCGAGGCGCGACTCATCGACAACGGATCGAAGACTGTCCCAGCAAGACGAACTTGAGCTTCCGGAAGTGCTCAAAGTGGGAGTGCACAGCGGGACGGTCGAGATCCTGCGCACCTCTGGTCGTCTGGCAGACGCTCGGCTGATGCAACCCTTGGAACCGCGCGTCCAATTCGGTTCGTGGGCCTCCGGGCTCTCTCACGAGGTTCGTCCAAGACGGCACTCCTGGATTCCGCACGGTGCATGTCATCGTCCAAGCCGGTCTAAAAACCTCATTCGAAGGCCCTTCTCTTCGCTATCCCCCCCACCACCCCTTTTCACCCACAGCGTCACTGGGATCTGCACCGTCAGTCTCACTGCCTTCACGCTCCATCGCCGAGCTCCCAGTTTCGCCAAAGTCTCAAAAGGCTTGAGTGCCGCTGACTCTTCTCGCACACGAGGATCGGAATTCATCGTCCACATATCTTCGATACAGCAGGACAAGCATGTGTTACGGCATTCTCCTCGGAGCAGATCTCCACGCAGACTTCCGGCAGATCCCTGCCTCCGCTCGCGTGGATCCCAGCTCCCTCCCGTTCCATCGTCATCCCACAGGGTCTGAGACGGCCGCGGTCGCCGTTACGCTTTTCCATCTTGGGAGCGTCGACAGCTACCGTCAGGTCTGGGCTGACGATGCGTGGGACGGGGACCACGGAAGACGTTGCAGGAAAGCGGAGCAGCGTGTGGAACTGCCGATCCTCAGTGCGCTCATAGAGCACGAGGACACCGGGGAGAAATGGCTCTGGGACTTGGGCATGTGCAATGTGAGTGACGCAGATTTGCGACGCCTTTGTCCTCTCTGTTTTGATCGAACTCAGCTCTTCAATGTCTTCTCGCGTGCAGGACTTCGACGTTCTACCGACAGCTTTCTCGAACGGCTCGGTAAAGGCGATCACACCTAGGCTGAGCGATCGGGGACAGCTCAAGAATGTCCTGCTGGATCTCTTCAACGTGAATTCGATCGAAGAAGTCGGACTGACCGGCATCTTCCTGTCGCACGCGCATGTGGACCACTACGGCAACCTTCTCGACTTTCCAAACGCGGTCCCTGTCTTTGTAGGCTCGGGAACATTGGGCTGGATCGGAGGCGGAGAGGACGCTGCGAAGAGGGGCGAGGCGGGCCACTTATACTTTCCTTCCAGCTTCCTCAAGGATCGCGTCTTCATCGAGATGCACGACGTCGAAAGCAAGGCCGACGACGTTGTGAAGGCCAGAGTGAGACAGACAAAGGTCGGCCCTTTCGACAGAGCATGGGATTGGTTCGGAGATGGCAGCGTTGTCATCGCGTCTGCCGAGGGTCACTGCCACGGACACATCGTCCTCCTTGCCAGGACCAGCCCGGGACCGCGGCCATCTTACGTTCTGCTGTCGGGGGATGCAGCACATCAGCAAGCACTCTACCACCCACTGCCGCCCCCTCTCGAGCTTGATGGGGAGCTCCTCAGCGGGCCTGGCGATGTGACATCGAGCTACAGCACGACTTATGGAGCAGAACACGACCAACGTGCAACGCCCGGTTTCTTCGATTCACAAAGCTCCGAGGCGATCACGGACCGACTCGTGCCGGACGGCGAAGCCACGTGCATGCAGGAGTTTCCTGACAAAGCAATGCGCACCATAGCTGCACTGTCCCGTATGGAGGCATGCGCTGACGTGATGGTCATCCTGTACGTATCGCTTCGCTTACCCGACCTCCCCGAAGTGTCCATCGATGATGATGCTAACACGTATCTTTCCCTCCCCGATGCTCTACGGACACAAACAGTGCTCACGAGATCGAGTTCGCAGAATCGGTCGGTCTCCGAGAAGGCTCGCGAATCTCTGTCAATGGCTGGCGGGAGAAGGGATACAAGGAGGGCAAGATTGAGACAGGCAAACGCGCGAGAGAATTCTTGGAATCGTTGTAGCCTATCTTGATGCACGTCGACTGTATCAACGGTGCCAGTTCCGGACGAGCCTGACTAGTGCGAGCTCGTAATCACATCCTGAAGACAGATGGGAGGACGGTAGTGCACTTGCCATGCCGCCGTCTCCTGGACATGTGACCTGTCAAGTCGCAGTCATCCTCGACGTCGACGAAGCAAGGAGCGAATCTTCCAGGTCTGCGCAACACCCAGACACCACCGATCTCACTCTTCCTAATTCGAACTAACACAGCCAGCAGCTGCGATCTTGACCATGAGCTGAAGGGTTGATGTACCTGATCATGTCTGACTGACTGCGTGCACTCGCAGCCACAACGGCCGAAACTAGTGCAATCCGGGCGCTCAACGCAGCCTAGATCTTCTTCCGTCATGTTTTGGATCTTCGTGAGAGACGCGGGTGTCGCTCATGAGTGCCTCGCGCCCAAATTTTGCATTTAAACGCCTTCGTCCTGCCTACTCAGCCCACGATAGCCAGGCAAAACACTGCTACGATGCTGCATTACGAGAGAAACAGCTCGCAGTGTATTCCAAGCAAACCCAAGGCAGCGCTTCCTAAACCGTCTGGTCGCGGACGTTGAGGAGGGTCGACTGGGTCAGACGCTGTCGGTGCCGCTCGAGCCAGACATGGCTCTGAAGGCGCGCTCTGTTTCGGAACAGCGCGTTGCTCCGAAGCGGTAGCGCAATCGCAGGAGGCGGAGTGCGCCATATCGACAGTATCGGCAGGCACGAAAGTGGATCCTTGAGACGGTGACTCCAACGGGTAGCCGGGGCGTTCTGGGACGTCGCTTGGCACAGCCGCTGTCTCCTCCTGGGCCGACACCGGCGGCATTAAAGCTTTCTTCGTCGAGCGAGGTCCCGTCGCGAGCTCGGGGCGGGAGCTGATGCCGGGTTGACGGAACGCGCGTCCTCGACTGAGCTGCTGCAAGGCGCGAAGCCGTGCTTCGTTCGGGACGACGGTGCAGACCAAGCGGCGGTCGAGAAAGGGCCAGAACGCAGCTTCATATACGTCCATCACAGACCCTGGCGCATGCATGCCTCGCATGCCTTGCAAAGAGCTGCATCCGCGCTAGCCTGGAGAGTGAGGAGACGCCGACGAAGCCACCTTGCCATCTTGCAAGCGCCATCCACCCATTGGTAACTGACACACAATTCTTACAGGAAGCGTTCGTGTGTAGCGCATCGGTCTGCATGGAGGTGATGAAGCGATTGGGAGCAGTGCATGTCTCAAGACACCAAAGAATGCGCCAATGGGCCCAGTTCTGGGTCTCTAAGGATTCAGGAGTCAGGGCCCCAAGCCAGGGCGGTGCTTTCCATGCTTTCGATGTCGCGATCGTCCTTCGACGGGAAAGGCGATGGGGCTCGCGCTTGCTGTCGGCTCGAGGATGAAGGTCTAAATCCGGATCGGCCCACATTCCGGCACGTGTTCCTCGGTAAGGATCGAGGATTCAGCTTGAGTCGACAGAAGCTCTTCCGTCCATGTTTGGCTTCGTTGCGTTTGATCGTAGAGAGCCCGCGCAGCACCGGGCGAACGAGTGGTGACCAGCCATGAAAGGCGCTCAAGTTGCAGTCGCAGAGACCGGGCTAGCGTGCGAAACCTCGCAACCTTCGGTCGCTCGGGCGCGGCGAGACCATCCTAGAAGCGAGCTTTGCATACCGAACCCGTTCCGAAGCCGGTCGGATCGGAGAAGATCTCCGGTTCTCCGCTACGAATCTCCGGTCCCCTGCGATTGCGCCTATCCTGTCGAGCCGATATCGCAGGCAGGTGCGCTCTGCATGCAGGCATGGCGGAGTGGCCGTGGGAGGTTGCGGAGCAGCCACAGTAGCCAGCGTTAGCCTTCTGCCGAAGGAAGCAGTCTCGCAAGTCCCGCACATTGCGGTACGGCGCCAGCTTGCGTCGGAGAAGATTGGCTCTCAGGTATCTCAACACCGCTCCACAATCGATTCAAGTTCTCGGACGTGCGGACCGATACGCACGGACCTCAGCGGCAGGCATGGAGCAAGTATGGCCATGCTCTGGACGCGAGGCATGCGAGGAACCAGTGATCTGGTTTGCGGACGCCAAATTTTCTCACACGGGCAGACAGCGACGATGCCTGGGCCGCCCCTGAACGAGCCTCTCCAGCGGACCAATGCTCTCTGGAGAGCATATAAAGATGCAGAGCGCCGGTTGCCAGCTGATTGCCCCCGCCTCATCCAACCGAACTTGCACTACGGTATCGCATAGTGTTCCGCACAGGCTTTACTTTCTCGCTTCCTTTTTAACCACATCTGCACTGTTAGTCATCATGGCAGTCCACGGCAAATACGTCACCGAGAAGGTGACCTATCCTTCGCACGGAGAGACCGTCGCTGGCATCCTTTACCGCCCGAAAGGCATTGCCAAGCCGCCTGGCGTCGTCCTCGTCGGACCTTACTCGTACGTCAAGGAGCAAGCTCCGCTTCAGTATGCGACCCGCCTCGCCGATGAAGGGTACGCTGCCCTGATCTTCGACCCCCGCACCGTCGGCGAAAGCACGGGCGCTCCGCGTCGTCTGGAGAACCCCAAGATGAAGAATGAGGATGCCGTCGCGGGTCTGGACTACCTTGTGAGCCGAGGCGACATCGACCCGTCCAAGCTCTTCCTCGTGGGTATCTGCCAGGGCGGCCCTCAGTGCTTGGACATCGCTTCGCGCGACGATCGCGTTGCTGCCGTAGCCTCCGTCACAGGCTACTTCCGCGACCGCGAGACGGACATCTACATGATCGGCTCAGGCTGCGTAGCCTGGACGCCTGGCGCCGACATTGCGACCATGCGCATGCCCACGGCAAAGCAAGGTGAAGCGCTCCTCGATGCTCGCCTGAAGAGGGCTGAGGAGGCGCGCGCACTGTACGAGAAGACCGGTGAGGTTGTCTACCAGCCGTTGGTAGACCCTAAGGCGGCCGACCCCGACGTCGGATCGCTCGCCGGTCTTCCCGGACCGGTCAGCTGGACCTTCTACGGCCCATGGACCATGAAGAACTTCGACAACCGGTACGCGGTGATGAGCGACCTGGACCACTTCAGCTACACTACCGTCCCCGGCGTGGCTAAGCTCGAAAAGCCTGCTCTCATCATCCACGGTGACAACTGCATGAATGCACCTTCCGCTAAGCGCCACTTTGACTCGATCCCCACCAAGAGCAAGAAGCTGATCTGGGACAACGAGGTGTCGCACTTCCAGCACTACGAACAGCCGGACTGCGTCGATCGCAACGTAGGAGAGATCGCCAGCTGGTTCCAGAAGGTGCTCGACGGAGCCAGCTTGCCCTGATAGATAGGGCCGCGGACGGCCAGCGACCGACCGGCTGCCCGATCACAACGTTGGCTACAGACACGTCCGACTTAGCCTTGTGCATCGTGCATCGGAGGTGGCCTGGCTACTCCCGTCGTTCCTGTTGCTCGACCTCCCGGTCTGGTACCTATCCTTTGCGCTTTCGTCTCTGTACCACAGTTGCCTTGCGATCGCTTGATCCTTCTCTCCCTGTGGGCCTTAGTTTTTCGAATGCTTCTTCCCATCTTATGCTGTCTGTTTGTGCGCACGAGCTTGCGGGGAACTTGATTCGGGCTTGAGACTGCAACTGAGCTTGGCCCTCAGTATGAGACTCGGTCAGAGTCGTGCAAAAGTTCCCGCCAAACCCACCTCTCGAGACAAGGAATCGCATACGCCGGTCTTGTGCCACGCCCTTGTACCGCAGCACAAGCTTTCTATCTTCAACGTTGCTGAGACGAGCGGGTGCATTTCCGCGGCCAAGCCCACTTGGAACGTGAAACGTGATGCGTCGAAGTGGTCGGAATGACAGAGACTTTGCTCCTCGCATCGCTTCCGGACTCACGAGACCTGCTGGCACCCCTGCAAATGTTTTGAGAGAAGCGTAGGATCTTTCGCGCCCTCCTTGCATCGGAGATTTGGTGACATTGCTGCGTCGTCTCCGCCTTCCTGAGGTGCGAAGGGGTGCGGGTTTCTTCCCTTCTCTCCTCTTCCCTCCTCTTCCCTCCTCTCCTCACCCCTCCTCGCCTGCCCCCTCGTCGCCCATCAACCCGCGGACCAGAGAGAAAGATTTCACCGCCTTGTGTCAAGAACTCGCACCAAGCATCTCGAAAGATCGGCTATTCGGCACATCATGTCGCACTCGATCGGGACCAAGGGAACAGCTGTGATGTAGGTACCCGCTGCGACCACCGTCGCTGCCTCATGCATGTTCAGCCTACATTAAGAATGGAGCGGCGAGCGTCTAATTGATTGACCCTTTCCTCTATTGTGGAACCTCTGGCCCTGTCCACAAAAAACAGACTCGGAGCATCAGGCGCGGTGGGCAAATCGCTGTTGCCACTTCTCGTTTCGGAGACCTCGCCTTATTCGCGCGTGTACTCTTTCGCCCGGCGCGCTCATCCCTCACCGCCCGCACCCGCGCCTGGAGTACACTTTGAAGAGATCATGATCGATTTCGCTGCACTTTACGAGGGCAACCGGGCCGAACAGGATAAATTCGACTCCCTCTCGCACAGCTTCGACTCGATCTACATCGCGATGGGGACCACGCGGGCAGCGGCCGGAAGTACACAGGCCTTCGAGAAGATCGATCGTGGCTACGTCCTCACCGCTGCGAAGGCCCTCTCTAAGCAAGGCAGTGGCGCGACGCTGGTGTATTGCTCATCCCGCAGCTCCAGCAGCAGCTCTTGGGTCCCCTACCTGAAGAGCAAGGGACTTACGGAAGAAGGCCTCGCCGGCTTGTACTCGAACACCGTGATCATGAGACCCGGCTTCCTCAAGAACGCGGGCCGACCTGAAAGCAGGATCTTCGAACTCTTCCTCGAGCCCCTTCTGGGCGCAGTTTCAGCCCTCACGGACTCGTGGCAAGCGTCCGTCTCGGATGTCGCCAAGGCCATGGTTGCAGCCGCGCAGAAGGGTCCTGAAACTTTGAAAGCGCAGCGAACCGGCGAAGTTCCGGGCAACAGTTTCCGGCTGCAGAGCGGCGCAAGCAGGAAGGGGCTGGCGATCGTGCAGAACCCAGGCGTGCTCGCCCTGGCTCGCGATCAGCCTGCAAAGGCGTGAGCACTCGATTCTCCTTGTCCATCCACACTCGAAGAGTCGCGGCACCGGATGATCGTCGCCAAGGCGGTCCCGGTCTCACACGCACTCACGCACTAACGCATTCACGCACTGACGCACTCACGCAAATGGAGTTTTGAATCCAGCAGATGAGATTGCTGAGCACATTTACTCTTCCGTCGGCTGTGTCGAGCCGCACTCAAGCTGAGCCTGTGTAATCGCACCGAAAATGATGATAATGAGCACGAGAAGTTGCTCGGTACAGAGGACGCAGAGAGGGCGAGGAGGAGAAAGTGGACGCGGAGCAACGGAATTAGCGACGGCTCTCAGCATTGGGATCAACTCCGACTCTGCGGCGCGGACAACAGGATGCGACTGCAGGATTGAAGGTTTACTTGTTCCACGATGGCAGCTTTTCAAGCTCGAGGAGAGAATCGACGCTGTCCAACAGCGTCGTCTGCCACCCTCGGAAGGCGATGCCCAGCTTCTCTCGTGCCCTACTGGTGTCCATGCTCGCAAAGCTGCCGTCGAGGTCGATAGAGGGGGCCTGTTGCCAGCCTTTCGGCAAAAGAGCACGCAATTCGGGCCGCTTCTCGGCAAGCAATTCAGCAGCCTGTGCCCAGGAGAATTTGCCGCCACAAAGGAGGTACCTCTCCCCCATCGCGCCGTCCTTCTCGACGGCTCGGACGTGAGCCAGAGCGACGTCCCGCACATCGCAAAAAAGAGGCAGATCGTCAGACGGCATCTCGTCCAGGCCAGAGATCAGGCCGTACATGATCGCGCTCGACAGATTCAGACTCTTTCGAGTCACTCTCGGCTGCAAAGTCGGCCCGTAGATCATGGGCGGATTGATAGAGGCAACTTCGAACGCCGGCTTTTCGCGAGCTACAAAGTCGTACGCGGCTTTCTCGGCGACCTTCTTGGAAGCATAGTAGGCAAGGACACTTGCGCCGGGCCCGGTCGCGGTCTTTGCCTCCTCGTACGTCGTCGGATTCCAATCCTTGTCGGTGTACACGTAGCCAGGACGCTTGATGTCACCGGCTATGGGGTCGGACACAGCCGCGAACGATGATGTGATCACGATCTTCTTGATCTTGCCTTCTTCCTTCGCGAATCGCAGCAGGTTGAGTGTGCCCTCGAGCGCCGGGATCAGCAGATCCGTCTCTGGGTCGTTGATCTGAACTTGGAAGGGCGAAGCCACGTGCAGGACCAGATCCACCCCTCGCACAGCTAGCCTCAGGTCCGACGTGGCTGTGTCTGCGACGTGGACGAACTCTACACGAGCACGATCTCGAGGGCTCAAGCGCTCAAGCACCTCGTCGCTCTTCGAGAGGGACCGGAGCGTTCCCCTCACGCGGTAGTTTTGCGGAGAAGCGAGCACAGCATCGAGCACGTGAACGGCGACGAAGCCGGTGATGCCAGTGATCAGCACTAGTGGTCCTGACATGACGGTCACTCGCCTAACATGCAGAGCAGAGAGGGAGGGAGGGCGGTTGTTGATCAGCTTCCGAGCCGAGCCGGAATGCAATCGAGTGGTGAAAGGGTAGTAGGATCAGTCATTGACGAGCAGGCAGTCAGCGACCTTTTAAATATGTTCTTATTCCAGCTTAGCAGAACGACGGTCCGCTTGCCTTGCCTCGCTATCGCCGCCGTCTGGCATCCGCTCCTGCGCGGAGTTGTCCTGCCTCTCGCCCCTCGCTCGCGCCCGCAGACGGCAGGCCGAGAGAGGGCGGGCCGTTCGCGACATTGGGTCAGGGAGCAGGCCCTTGTTCGGGTCGGGCGACTGCATGTGACACTGAGCCACCCACCAGCAGACTTCGGCAGGGCGGAGGAGTTTGCTTCGTGTGTT